CAACTGAAAATCATATCTCAACCCTACTCCCTGGACACCATTCCATCCGAAACCATCAATCACGATAGTTAGTGTTGGAGAATCACAAGAGCTTTGGGATTTCTTTGTGTTGAACTTGGACTAAGTGGATGCACTCGCACTTTACTGAACTTAAAGTCGCGTCTACTGCACCTGAGTCTACTTGAACTTTTGTTTATTTTGTATTGTAAATATTTTTGCTCGAGTATTATTTTCTAATGAATGGCCACTGTCACTGTCTGTAGCGCTTCAATACATGGTGCAGACCAAATGTGTTTATTGTTTCGCCTCCTCCCAGAGTCGTTTCTAGTTTTTCTGATACTAGCCTAAATCAATCAACCTTTCTAGTTAACATATTGAGATTAAAAAACTAAAGTACACTTCTTATACAACTAGCTACGAGTCTTCATTAGCTTTTGGTAACGTGTATGCTACATGCACGATGAGAACCACTGGGCCTGTGCCATTCTCCTGTTCTGATAGTTCACTAGTCACTTTACCTTTGAACTGGACTAGTCAGAGTTCTGTAATCCGTTTATTTTAAGTATAATGTAACGTTAAACCATAGAATTTGAATATATATTTTTTTCTACTTTGTTTTGCGTTTATTAAAGGTAAAACAGGCTGCATGCACCACTAGCATAGACTATAAATATGAAGGACATAGTCACACCTGTCTCCGCCGTTGAAACTAATGTGACACCATTTATGGCTTCTATGGGGTTTTTTCAAAATGTATTAGAATACTGTTGTAATCATTGAAAAGTAACCGTAGAGTCAAACATATTCTCCTTTTTTTCTTCCACTTTATCCGTTGCCAAATCGCTTGTGCAGCAGTCTGAGCAGAGGCGCCCGGGCTCCACTCTGAGGAAACTTAAGTGGACCTGTGTCCACAATCTTGTCCTTTTGGTCTTAATAATGATAATAACAAGAAGAAATAATGCATCGGTTTTATACAACGCTTTTTTTAATTATCAAAGACGATTCGCATGACATTATTGATTTACTCTAAACATGGTGGTGATAAACTTCTGTTGTAGCCACAGCTGCCCTGGGGCAACCAGTCTGTGACATCAGCCCCTCCCACCACCACCAACCATTCACACACACACCAGACTCACTCTAATGTGGGCGACGTGTCTTGCCCCACTGTGGCACCTGGTGTTTTCAGAGGTCTCCCATCACAGTACTAACCAGGCCCTGAGGACTAGCAAGATGGGGCCGTGTCAGGGCGCCGCAGTGAACGCTCTGGTGCGCACAATCTGTGTTTTGTTGTTTTTTGTCTGGGATTCACTTGCCTGCCACAGTGAAATATGATCGGCAAACACTTCTACACATTCGGGATCACGCGTGTGACGGGTCACTCGTTTTACCCGAACTGAGGTGCACAAACTTCCTCGAGTGTCCCACTCGAGAGGCCCATGGAGCACGGCAGGCGGGCCGCGGCGGTAGCCGCCAACAGAGCGAGGGGACTGGGCGTCTCCGGCGTTCTCTCCGCGGTGTGGAGATGGGCACCTCGAGTCGGCGAAGGAGGCGCAGACACCGGGGAAGGCGAGGCGGTCTGCTCGTTCGTAGCCGCTCCTCCAGGACCCCTTTGCCCTCCATCTACCTGGCCAACGTCCAGTCTCTGCCCAACAAGACGGACGAGCTCCTGTGTCGGGTCCAGAGCCAGCGCGAGGCCCGGGACTGCGCTGTGTTCTGCCTCAGCGAGACGTGGCTCCACTCGAATGTCCCGGACTCTGCTGTTCAGCCCCCGGGATTCACCGCTCACCGCTCGGACAGAGTGAAGGAGACCACGGGCAAGGCCAGAGGCGGAGGTGTGTGCTTTTTAATTAATCAGCGCTGGTGCACGGACACTCGTATCGTGAACCAAACATGTACTGCCAATCTGGAATGCCTGGTCTTGAGCTGCCGCCCTTTTTATCTTCCCCGTGAGTTTTCAGTGATATTTTTATGTTCTGTTTACATTCACCCACGTGCGGATTATAAAGTAGCCCTACAGGATCTGAGCCGGATCCTAACGCAGTCATCATTGTTGCTGGGGATTTCAATAAATGTAATTTAAAGACTGTACTCCCGAACTTTTACCAACACGTGACTCAAGCTACAAGAGGAGCACATGTTCTGGATCACTGCTACAGTAACGTGAAGGGAGCTTACAGGTCCAGTCTCAGACCTCCTTTTGGAAAGTCTGACCACTCCTCTGTTCTCCTTCTTCCTTCGTATACTCAGAGGAGCAGGGAACATAAACCAACCTCTCGCACTGTGCAGTGTTGGTCTGAGGAGGCTAGCATGAAGCTACAAGGTTGTTTTGATGCTACGGACTGGTCTGTGTTTCAGTCAGAGGACGTCAATGAATTCTGTGACGCTGTGTCTGGATACATACGCTTCTGTATTGACGGCTGTGTCCCACAGAAGGCCATTAAAGAACATTTTAGTCAAAACCCTTGGATGAACGCGGAAGTGAAACTGAAACTTCATGAGCGTGCGTTGGCGTTTCAATCTAATGATAAAGTTGCTTATAAGCTATCCTGTTACTCATTGAAACGTTCTATTAAATCTGCAAAGCGCAGTTACGGGGACAGGTTAAAGAGTTATTTTGAGGAAGATGACCCTCGGCGCATGTGGAACGGTATTAAAGCCATCGCATCGTGGAAACCTAGTGCTGGGAAAATTGCATCTGTCGGCCAAGCTCTGCCAAACGAGCTGAACACGTTCTACTGTCGCTTTGAATCCGCTGATGCCTGTCCTACTGTATTCCCTGAGTGTTTCAATCAAGGTACCTTCACCGTGACTCAGGAGGAAGTCAGGCGTGTCTTGTCCAGGACCACAGTCCGGAATGCCCCAGGCCCGGACGGCATCCCTCCTCGTGTCCTGAAACTGTGCTCTGAGCAACTTGCCCCTGTGCTAACAGACATTTTCAACCTGTCGCTAAGGAACTGTACTGTGCCGAACTGCTTTAAAGAGTCGACCATCATTCCAGTTCCTAAGAAAACTCCTGTGACATGCCTGAATGACTATCGTCCTGTGGCCCTCACGTCTGTTCTTATGAAAACTTTTGAGCGGCTTGTGCTGGACTTCATTAAGAGCCAGATCCCTGTGAGTGTTGACCCGCTCCAGTTTGCTTACAGACAGAACAGGAGTGTGGAGGATGCCATCTCCTTTGCTCTGAACTCTGTCTACAGTCACTTGGACACTAGAAAATCTGTGGCGAGAATGCTTTTCATCGATTATAGCTCTGCTTTTAAATGTCTTGTCCCAGGTAAACTGATTGAAAAGCTCATGTCTCTCGGTTTAAGTGTTGCCATGTGTAAATGGATTTTTAGCTTTTTAACTGACAGATCTCAGAGAGTGAAAATCAATGACTGTTTTTCTGATGTTGTTTCTGTGAGCACTGGTTCTCCTCATTGATATATTTTGAGTCCTTTGCTTTTTACTTTGTACACTCACGATTGTGTGTCCTCCTCTGACTCAAACTTGATCATTAAATATGCTGATGACACCACCATCATCGGTCTCATCAGTGACAATGATGAATCCTCTTATAGAGCAGAGATACAAAATGTGGTTCAGTGGAGTAAAACTAACAACCTCTAGTTGAACGCATCGAAAACATGTGAACTGGTCTACGACTTCAGTCGCAATAGTTCTCATTTGCCTGTCGTAATCGACAACTCCCAGGTGCAGATCGTAGAGGAGTGCAAGTTTCTGGGTTTAACTCTGTCTAACGACCTGAAATGGGTTAAAAACACTGACCGAGTCGTTAAGAAAGCTCGTCAGCGTCTCTACTTTCTGCGTAAACTTAGAGAATTTACCACTAACTCTAAGATTCTGCTTAACTTTTATCGCTGCACCATTGAGAGTTTACTTGTTGGTTCTGTGTCTGTGTGGTTTGGAAACATCACAGATAAAGAAAAGAGAGCTTTAAACAAGGTGCTCCGTTCTGCAAAGAGGACCGTGGGCTGTGAGACCAGAGAGAGACCAGAGAGAGACCAGAGGGAGACCAGAGAGAGAGACCAGAGAGAGAGACCAGAGAGAGTCTAGAGAGAGACCAGAGAGAGACCAGATAGAGACCAGAGAGAGAGACCAGAGAGAGAGACCAGAGAGAGACCAGAGAGAGACCAGAGAGAGACCAGAGAGAGACTAGAGAGAGAGACTAGAGAGAGAGACCAGAGAGAGACCAGAGAGAGACCAGAGAGAGACCAGAGAGAGACCAGAGAGAGAGACCAGAGAGAGACCAGAGAGAGACCAGAGAGAGACCAGAGAGAGACCAGAGAGAGACCAGAGAGAGACCAGAGAGAGACCAGAGAGAGGACCGTGGGCTGTGAGCTTCCTGTTCTGGAGGTTCTTTATAAATCCAGACTTTTAAACAAAGCTCTTAGGATTGTTAATGACTCTTCTGGCCACCCTGGAAAAGCCATGTTCCAGCTTCTTCCCTCTGGCAGAAGATATCGCTCTCCGAGATGCAGGACATCTCGTTACGCTAACAGTTTTTATCCACAAGCTGTTATCAGTGTGAACAGAGCACTTTAATGATTTGCACTTGTTTTGAAACTGTTTTAGTCGATCGATTTCACAGTGACATTTGTTTACTGTTTTATTTGTTTTTATTTTTGTCTTTTAATGTTGTTTTATGTCTGTATTTGTGCACACTGGAGACTTTTTACTAATGTATGTGTTTTTTTTTACTGCAAATGGCAAATAAACTGAATCTGAATCAGCTCTGCTTAGCTCCAGAGGTCTGTATTCCCTGTGTATGTGAATCCTGCTATAAAGATGGGCACAATTTAGAGTCACAATCTAATCACCTTTTATTTGTTTAACCAGGAGAACCTCACTGAGATTAATAATGTATTTTTCAAGAATGTCGTAGAAAATTCAGAGTCAAAATCCAATGTATTTATTTAAAACAGATGAACCATAAAACACAGATGTAAAGATCATATTCAAAGGTAAATCTGCAGAAAGAGCAGGTGTGAGGCTCATATTGACATGCCTGTAGAGTTCAGCAGGAGCACAGTGTTGTTCCCTGCTGAGTCCACAATCAGGCTGCTGTTGTCGATGAGTAGTTCCGGTTCCCTGACCCAGACTGGGAAAAAGCCTCTGCTTCTTTCTTCCGGTTTCTACAACGACAGACATCAATGTGTGAGTGTTTCTGTGACTGAGTGGATGTGTTATATTATCTACACAGAGTAATGCTGCTTAAACATGTCTCCACTTGGACTAGAGGCCACCCACGGTACTGCAGCCTGCATCCACACAGGCCGGAAGGAGCTAAAGCAGCATGTTCTCAGCTGACAGCTTTCAGAAAGGTCTAGTTCAGTAGGGATTTTAATGTCTCTCTCTGGTCTCTCTCTGGTCTCCCTCTGGTCTCCTTCTGGTCCCTCTCTGGTCTCCCTCTGGTCTCCCTCTGGTCTCCCTCTGGTCTCCCTCTGGTCCCTCTCTGGTCTCTCTCTGGTCTCTTCCTCCGGTCTGTCTCCAATCTCTCTCACTGGTCTCTCCGGACTCTCTCTCTGGTATCTCTCTGATCTCTCTCTGTTCTGTCTCTTTGGTCTCTCTCTGGTTGCTCTCTCTCTGGTTTCTCAAGTCTTTTGGAAGTAGAACCACTGCACAAGACCCAGAAATGACCAGAACACGTCACTTCTGCAAATGTTTGGGACGTCCATGGTGCAAGCATGAACCAACGAGACCAGGACAATGATCTGAATGGGCAGACATCTTGGAAACCTGGGACAGACATCTTGGAAACCTTGGGCTCACATCTTGGACAGACCCAGGACTTGCTTGACTGTAGCAGAACCAGTATCTCAACAATGTTCTAAACACTGAAACTGTAACTCACTTCGTCGCTGAACTGGTTGAGGCCCTGCCAGTACGAGTGCAGGCCCTGGTCCGCCTCCTTGTTATGGGCGTTCACCTGTATGCGAGTCTTCTCCCAGATGGCCCTGCGCTCCGCCTCCTCCTCCTGACGTTAACATCATCATTACATTTAAGAAAAATATTTATAGAAACAGTTCAGAAAGGTCAACAACACATATGTTAATTCACTGCCAAAGATGGCTGCAGCCTTCCCCCCCTCGCAGACCTCCCTGTTGAGCCCCTGTCACGTGACCTTCTTCAGGAGCCCCTGTTACCTGACCTTCTTCAGGAGCCCCTGTTACGTCACTTCCCTGGGACTTGAAAACGTTTTTTTTCATAAAGTTATAAAGCTTATATGTAAGATATGGTGTTTATTATGTAAAAAAAAACAATAATAGTGACGTTTGTTCCACAAATTGAGACCAGGTATTATGTATATGAGCGGGTCAAAACCGGTCTCCCTACACTGAGAGAAGTCTGCTTGTGTCCAGTAAAGTAAGTGACATAACAGGCTCGTGGAGGAGGTCACGTAACAGGGGCTCCTGAAGGAGGGGCTGAACAGGGAGGTCTGCGAGGGGGGGGGGAGTCTGCAGCCAGACTCTCATGGAGAAATGAGTAAATAGTAAAGTTAATTTGACATGAGATTTTCACGCCACAGGTCGAGTGAGGGAGGATTTTCTCTTATATCCAAACATATGGACCCCAAAGACCTGATGTAAAGTGAAGAGTTGCATTTACCGTTTGGTGATGTGAAGACAGAGTTACTGACCGGTGTGTCGTAGACTTTTTCGTGGGTGATCTTCCATTTGTTGAACTCGTCGTCCAGGTTTGAGTCTGCGACAGGGAGACTGAGGACTGCACTGAGAAGCAGGACTGTGGCCAGGGGCACTAGGACCCAGAAGATCTGCAACAACCACAGCTGTTAGCATCTGTACTTCTGCAACAACTACAGCTGTTAGCATCTGTACTTCTGCAACAACTACAGCTGTTAGCATCTGTACATCTGCAACAACTACAGCTGTTAGCATCTGTACATCGGCAACAACTACAGCTGTTAGCATCTGTACATCTGCAGCAACCACAGCTGTTAGCATCTGTACATCTGCAGTAACTACAGCTGTTATCATCTGTACTTCTGCAACAACTACAGTTGTTAGCATCTGTACTTCTGCAACAACTACAGTTGTTAGCATCTGTACTTCTGCAACAACTACAGCTGTTAGCATCTGTACTTCTGCAACAACTACAGCTGTTAGCATCTGTACTTCTGCAACAACTACAGCTGTTAGCATCTGTACATCTGCAACAACGACAGCTGTTAGCATCTGTACATCTGCAACAACTACAGCTGTTAGCATCTGTACTTCTGCAACAACCATTTTCCAGACAGTTCCATGGATCTATAATAATAACAGCCGGTTCACATGGTGTGGATGGACCTGGTTCTGGTTCTTACCTTCATGGTGCCGCTCTGACTGTGGGTCTTCTGGTCTGTACCAGCAACAGTCCTTAAATAAACACATGGTGTGGAGGAGGAGTCTGTCGTTTACTGGTAAAACATCAGAACAATCTGGAAGAGTCAATATTTGTGGCACAGATTCTGAGTCTGAAGTCCGCCGAAAACAGACACAGTTTCATAAGAACAGAGGACATGTAAAGTAATGTTTTTCACAATTGGAGACACAATCTTTCTACATCCTCAGATATGGATGAGTTCATTTAACTGTTAAACTAAAAAAAAAAAAAAAAAAAAATTAAAGCCGCAAGCGGCGATGAAAGGACTTGCTACTCTTAAGACCGCCTCCCGGGCGCCAGTCCCACAAGCGTCACGCGGCGTACTCGGCGACGAATTGGCAGCTCGATCAGACCAGGATTATGTACATAATACCTCATTAATAGGATAAAGTGCGCCCCTAGTGGTCACATCCGGGAGATGCACCCTCTACGGTGCATGTCGTAGTATTTTGCTCGTACAGATGTAAAGATTTGATTGTAAAACTTTGGTGAGGATCGGAAAAGTTTAGGTCAGGGGCCTTCCATAGGTGGCGCTGTAGAGTCATATTAGGTGTGTATTTACACACAATTACACTCAGGTCATTACCAACTGTTAGTGATGTGAGTTCTAGCTCTGTAGGTCTGAGCCTGTGGTCAGGAGAGCATCAAACATGGAGAAATTCCCCACCACCTCGCATGAAAATGAGGAAAAAATTCTAACTTTTTTGTAATGATTGTATAACTTCAATCCGTCCAGATGGAGAAATAACACGGTAGAAGTCTGTGCGATGAAAATCCAGGGACTAGTACGAAGCCAAAAACACAACACTTTGTACTGCCTGTAGGTGGCGCTGTTGCAGTCACAATTGTGTGTTGCATATCGTTGTGTTCAGAGTCATACGCTGTATTTCTGAATTCATTTCTAGCCTCATCGGACAAATATTTCTCCCCAAAAAGCTCATTCACATATTTTGAAGGCGCCCCCAGTGGTCAGGTGTGGGACTTACAACTTTTGCGTAATGTAATGTGTTGCTCGTCTCGGTCCAGAGAATACACTCAGCAATTTTCGGGCCGATCCGAGCACTAGTGCCCTATTACTTTCCGACAGGTGGCGCTAAAGAGCTCATATTGGGCGAATGATTTTAGTGTCATTGCGTTCAGGCCTTAACCTAATATTACTGATGTGAGTCTCAGCTCTGTAGGTCTGAGCCTGTAGCCCTCAGGGCTCAGCGAAAACGGCCAAAACGAAGGCCTTATTCGCCATGGCGAGGGACAAAAACGGTGAAGATGTTCTAACTTCTTTTTTAATGATTGTATAACTTAAATCCATCCAGATTAGGAAATGACGTGGTAGAACTCTGTGTGATGAAAAACCAGGGACTAGGCTTTTTCACTCGTCTCATAAAGATCTATCACTCATCCGAATTTCGTGTACCTACTCCAAAATATGCATTCCCGGCTCCAATAGAAATGGCAAATTTTGAAATTTCTAGGGGGGCGCTATTGATTCGCCTTTTGTTGGACAATCTCAAAACGTCCGTTTTATCAAATGTTTCGCCAAACCGGTCGTTTTAGACCCCCCATGTGCAGACTTTCGTGCATGTCTTCAGGGTCAAAAATCTAATTGTTTTGGCGGAAAAAGCGGAAGAATAATATTAAACCGGCGAATAACACGTAGTATTGGGGAGGCCTAATAATAATTCCAAAAGCAGCCCTTCAGCACAGGGACTGGCCTCCTCCTGGGACTATGAGGTGTGTTTGTGTGTGAGTGTGGGTGTGTGTTTGTGTTTCTTGTCCAATACATTCATGACCAAAAGGACAGATACATATTTCCATCGACCGCAGCTCGGTCAAAGCAGAGAGAGCTCAGAGACAACACTGACACTACTTTTTACTTTGAAACAGCAGAAACACGTAACACAACATGTATATTTGTAAAGTCACTCGTCCGTCACTGTCAATAATAAAACGCTCAGAAATGGCTTTCGCTTCACATGTTTTTATTCACATTCATAAAAACAAAGTTACTGTAAAAAAATCAAGTATCAAAGCAATAGATTCAGGATCCAGCGGTCGCCCAGCAACGCTTTACATTTATTCTGTTTCTTTTAACTTAAAGTCAAAATTAAAAAATAAAATAAAATCAATTATGATCAACTCTGTGACAAGATGGAGCCTCCTAAACTAAAATTGCACTTTTGTATTTGCATTAAACAGACGTCTTCTCTAAAGTCACGTGTGCGTTTGGTGGACTGCTGCGGTGTCTTCCTGGTGCTTGTAGACCCTCTCTCCTGGTCCCTTCCTTTATGGTGTCACCAGCTGTAGTCCATGCATCGGCCCGCGTTCACATGACGGGGTAGCTAGCCAGGTTAGCGATACCACACATGTTGTCACGGTTACGGGCCATCAGGATGTAGCCTTTGTTCCCCCAGTCCTCTCCCCAACTGCAACGGAAGAAAGATGAAAGATGGTGGACATGAATACATTTGGAGTTTAAAGCTGGACGTTAGCCTCAGTCCCTCTTGGTCCACGTCCTGTGAACAACTGGTCTGGGGACTGCTGGTCTGAGGACTGCTGGTCTGACGACAGCTGGTCTGAGGACAGCTGGTCTGAGGACAGCTGGTCTGAGGACAGCTGGTCTGAGGACAGCTGGTCTGGGGACTGCTGGTCTGAGGACTGCTGGTCTGAGGACAGCTGGTCTGAGGACAGCTGGTCTGAGGACAGCTGGTCTGACGACAGCTGGTCTGAGGACAGCTGGTCTGACGACAGCTGGTCTGAGGACAGCTGGTCTGAGGACAGCTGGTCTGACGACAGCTGGTCTGAGGACAGCTGGTCTGGGGACTGCTGGTCTGACGACAGCTGGTCTGAGGACAGCTGGTCTGAGGACAGCTGGTCTGACGACAGCTGGTCTGAGGACAGCTGGTCTGAGGACAGCTGGTCTGTCTGACGACAGCTGGTCTGAGGACAGCTGGTCTGAGGACAGCTGGTCTGACGACAGCTGGTCTGAGGACAGCTGGTCTGAGGACAGCTGGTCTGACGACAGCTGGTCTGAGGACAGCTGGTCTGAGGACAGCTGGTCTGACGACAGCTGGTCTGACGACAGCTGGTCTGAGGACAGCTGGTCTGAGGACAGCTGGTCTGAGGACAGCTGGTCTGGGGACTGCTGGTCTGAGGACTGCTGGTCTGAGGACAGCTGGTCTGAGGACAGCTGGTCTGAGGACAGCTGGTCTGAGGACAGCTGGTCTGGGGACTGCTGGTCTGACGACAGCTGGTCTGAGGACAGCTGGTCTGGGGACTGCTGGTCTGACGACAGCTGGTCTGAGGACAGCTGGTCTGAGACTCACCTGTTCTTCACGATCCAGTACTTCTTCCCTTTGACGGTGACCCCGAAGCCCACGGCCAGCACGGCGTGATTGATGTCCTCTTTGTCACAGGCGGGGTCGTAGTAGACGCCTGGGAACAGCAGGGATCTGAGTGAACTGGACTGAACTGGACTCTCAGGGAAATTAATATGGGGTCGTCAATGGCACAAGATTCAGTCTGTGCATGCATGTGTGTGTGTGTGTATGTAACACATGTAAACATGTAAACATGTAAATCTGAACACATGGACACCGCAGAGGACGACTGACTAAACCAACATCACATCCGGTCTATTTGTCAGAATGAAATCAAAACTATTCAACATAAAGCCATATCTATATATTTACTTTCATATTGTTTTTTTATTATTTTATTTAGTTTTTATTTTATTTATTATTTATTGATCTATGTATTTGTTTTTGCTCTGTTTTGTTTTACCCTTCTCTTGACAAAAGGGGAGCATAGGGGGACAAATTAAAATGTGTCTTGTTAAGAAGTGAGAACTAATGAAGATGACACAATAAAGTATATATATTTAAAATAAAAAGATTCACTCTGGTATTTTGTATAATTCAGATTCAGGTTTAGATTTATTATGTTCCTAAATCAAAACCACGATGTGATTGATCACTTACACCGTATTGTCCAGAAAGTGCTTACGACAGCAATGCACATATTTCTTATTCTGACCTTTCTGATAGAACTGGAAGGAGCTGAGCGTGGCGTCGATGCCCACGGACACAGGCCCCACTTTCCACACGGCCACCGCCAGCGCGTGCTCGTTGCCCACCGGGATCTCCTTGAAGCCCTTGCACTGCGCTGCCATTCCGGACGAGTTGTAGCGACACGGCTGCTCCTGAGCACAGAACAGGCCCCGGTGAGGAGGGGGATCACAGAGAGTCAGAACACAGAGGACGTGTTTGGTGTGGTTCCCAGAGCGGTCTGACCACTCATGTCCCAGTCTACATCCGGAACAGTAGCTTTCAAAAGCATCTCGTAACTTTACCTTGGTACTCAGACTTTGGAACGGAAAATAACCATCACACACAAGGCTAAAACATCATAAATAATCACAGTACATTAAAAAGAGTCACATTTTCAGGAAGACTGTTCCAGATTTTAGCTGCATAAATCTGAAATGCTGCCTCCGTTTAGTCCTGACTCTGGGACCAGCAGGAGGCCAGTCCCTGTGCTCCTCAGAGTCCCAGCAGGAGGCCAGTCCCTGTGCTCCTCAGAGTCCCAGCAGGAGGCCAGTCCCTGTGCTCCTCAGAGTCCCAGCAGGAGACCAGTCCCTGTGCTCCTCAGAGTCACAGCAGGAGGCCAGTCCCTGTGCTCCTCAGAGTCACAGCAGGAGGCCAGTCCCTGTGCTCCTCAGAGTCCCAGCAGAAGACCAGTCCCTGTGCTCCTCAGAGTCCCAGCAGGAGACCAGTTGAATGTAGAGACTGTCGGATTCCTGGACTTGGATTCAGAGCTGATTCCTGGACTTTAGGAGCTTTTTGACCCTTTAGAAACCAGAGTCTGGCGTCTTACTAAAAAAATAAATGAGGTCCCACAGCCTTAAGCTGCAGTATCCCGCAGTCATTTAACTTCAGCCAATTGAAAATAAAACTCTTATAATCCATTGAAAACCAGCACTTGGAGGTTTCGTGAAAATGTCAAGTGCATTATAAAGAACATTATTATTATTATTATTACTATTATTATCAAACCTGTCCCAGTGAGTTCCGTGCCACACACCTCTCCCACATAGGGGTAGCTCTCCTCGGAGTCAATGCCCTCGTTCTGGTCCACGTATCTGAAGGCGTTGGTCATGTATCCTCCTCCGCAGCCGCTGTTCTCCGTCACACAGTCCACCAGGTTCTGGGGGCTCAGGTCCTGGATCTGCCCGGTCTGTTTGGCCAGCTGCCCCTCCAGCGCCCCGGCCGAGCTGAAGGCCCAGCATGACCCGCACGAGCCCTGTACCGATCAATGCTTTTAGTTAAAAATCAATCTACAAAGCAAACCAATGTTACGGAAAAATTTAGAGTTCATAAAGGGACAAGAACATTCAAGAATATTCTCCCGTGGAATAAGAAATGGATAAGACTAAACTTCTTGTTCAACTCAAGATGAAAACCACTTGAATAAAGATGACCAGAGAGAAACCCGAGACCAGAGAAAGACCACAGAGAAACCAGAGAAAGACCAGAGACCAGAGAGAGATCAGAGATACCACAGAGAAACAAGAGATAAAGACCAGAGAGAGAGATCAGAGAAAGACAAAAGAGAAAGAGAGACCAGAGAGATATGAGAGAACAGAGAGAGACCACAGAGAGACCAGAGAGAGACCAGTAAGAGATCAGAGAAAGACCAGAGAGAGACCTGAGAGAGATCAGAGAGAGACCAGAGAGAGACCAGAGAAAGACCAGAGAGAGAGAGAGAGACTAAAAAACACTAAAAATATGTCCAATAGTTCTGGCATGCGCCTCCTATACTGGCGACCCCGCTCCCATCTCTGTGTGGAGTGAGAGACAAATGCCCCAAAAAAATTAACAATTGTAAACCGCTTTGAGACTCAGATCTGCAGTGAAAAGGCGGTATATAAATAAAGATTACTTACTTACTTACTTACTACTAGAGAGAGAAGAGAGAGAGAGACCAGAGAAAGACCAGAAAGAGAGAGAGAGAGAGACTAGAGAGAGAAGAGAGAGAGAGACCAGAGAGAGACCACAGAGAGACCAGTAAGAGATCAGAGAAAGACTAGAGAGAGACCTGAGAGAGATCAGAGAGAGACCAGAGCCAGACCAGAGAGAGACCAGAGAAAGACCAGAGAGAGAGAGAGAGAGACTAGAGAGAGAAGAGAGAGAGAGACCAGAGAAAGACCAGAGAGAGACACGAGAGAGATCAGAGAAAGACCAGAGAGAGACCAGAGAGAGACCAGAGAGAGACCAGAGAGAGACCAGAGAGAGACCAGGGAGTGACTTCAAACTGAAATGTCCCCACTGTGCTACAAATAAAGGTTCTTTTCATCTTAATGAATGACAGGCAGATTTGAAAATGTTTTTGATTTTAATACACTGCAAATTCTACAGCTTATTACATGTGGTTTCATCTCCCAGAATCCCTGTTCACTCAGGCTGCTGGTGTGTTTTATATGCATTCTATGGTCTGTCCACGAGGGGGCAGCCTTGCACAGTTATAACTTCACCACCTTTAGCATTACCTCATCGTTTCAAAATACCTCAAAGAGAGTTGTAAATGGAGACGTTTTTTTCCCATTCTGCCCATATTAAATTCACTTACATTATTGATGTGATTAAGACACATTCAAATCTGTCCTGTAAGTGCGAGGCAACACTGAAATTTACCCACAGTGAGACAAATAAAGGTTCTCTTCTCTTATTACAGCTAGTACCAAAACAGATGTCTGAGTTTGTGTGGCAGTAGGTATAGAGTGTGTGTCTCTGAGATTAAAGTCGCCGGTTCGAATCCTGCTCCCGACATTGGTAAAGAGGACAGATCGACTGCTGCTCCTTCTGCTGTGTGTCCTTGAGCAAGACACTTCACCTGCCTCGCCCCTAGAGTCTGTATATACCCTGCGGTGCATGTGTGTGTGTGAGTGATTGGTTCTGCGATGTATTAATGTGTAATTTATTCTTAGTATAGTAATTGTCTTACTTGTCTGCAATCCCTATTTATTTCGTTTTTATGCATTAAAGCTGAGGTACCTACATTTCCATCTTTTTAGTTTGTTACTCTAAACCAGTTTTGGCTCCATCGCCATAGTTTTTGGCCACTTCCACATCTTTAGATCCGCTTTTTCACATGTAAAAGTCTAAAAAGATTGGACCCCCCTCCCTCAGCCAATCAGCTCTCAGCCCACAGCCTCAGATAGTGACTCTCTGGGCTGTCTGTGTTGTTGTCACGCAGAGGCGGATGTGTGTTTTTCTGTCAGGACGTGTGTACCTGGTTCTTGACGGAGGACACCATGCCTTTCTTGCGGTAGTCCACCATCTTGGGGAGTCTCTGAACCTCGGTCTCATCGAACCTCATGAGGTTAGTGCTGTTCCTGGTCACCGGAGGGGTAAGACCTCGCACATACATGCCCCACTCCTCCGACGTCTGCGCGGCAACACAAACAACACAACATCAACACAAACGACTCGTCTACATAGACACAAGACTGGATGGACCATAAACCTCAACAGACACATGTGGAGAGACAGTATTTGAGGAGTCCACCATTTTGTGAAGTTCTTTGTCCAAATACAATACATTAAAATAAATTGTGTGAAAACGATTTTACAAAAAAATACATAGAAAAAGACAACGGAAAAATGAATATTAATGCAAGAACTAAAAAGCGACAGAAAGAGAGACCAGAGAAAGAGAGACTACAGAGAGAGAGACTAGAAAGAGAGAGACCAGAGAAAGAGACTAGAGAGAGAGAGACCAGAGAAAGAGAGACTAGAGAAAGAGAGAGACCAGAGAGAGAGAGACTAGAAAGAGAGAGACCAGAGAGAGAGAGACTAGAGAGAGAGACCAGAGAGAGACCAGAGAAAGAGAGACTAGAGAGAGAGACCTGAGAAACAACAGAGAGAGAGAGAGACAAGTACGATAGAGAGAGACCAGAGAGAGACCAGAGAAAGAGAGACTAGAGAAATTCACCAGAGAAAGAACAGAGAGAGAGACCACAGACAGAACAGAGAGAGACCAGAGACAGAACAGAGAGAGAGAGACCAGAGAAAGAGAGCATAGACAGAGGGACCAGAGAAACAAGAGAGAGAGAGAAGTATGATAGAGAGAGACCAGAGACAGACCAGAGAGAGAGAGACCAGAGAAAGAGACGAGAGAGAGACCAGAGAAAGAGAGACTATAGAGAGACCAGAGAGAGAGACTAGAGAGAGAGACCTGAGAAACAACAGCGAGAGAGAGAGAGAGAGAAGTACGATAGAGAGAGACCAGAGAGAGGCCAGAGAGAGACCAGAGAAAGAGAGACTAGAGAAATTCACCAGAGAAAGAACAGAGAGAGAGACCACAGACAGAACAGAGAGAGAGACCAGAGACAGAACAGAGAGAGAGATCAGAGAAAGAGAGACTAGAGAGAGAGACCTGAGAAACATCAGAGAGAGAGAGACAAGTATGATAGAGAGAGACCAGAGAAAGACCAGAAAGAGAGGCCAGTGAGAAAGAAAGACAAGAGTGTAGGGAAAGACCATAATCCAGAGAAAGAGAGACCAGAGAAAGAGAGACCAGAGAAAGAGAGACTAGAAAAAGAGAGACCAGTCCGGTAAGATATGTGCAGAAACCAAATAACAGTTATTTTCATATCTAATGTAAATCTCTAACATTTTGAACCGAAGACGTGTTTTGAGGTGAACGCGCCGACATCAGCAGCTCAGAAATAAAAACAGAAGGATTTGAACCCATAAAGTCTTCCGGCTTTAGTCCCTTTTACTCAGAACGAAGAGACAAAAGCGCTGAATGTGAAGAGACGTATCTGCGGCTTATTCCTCGCCTCGATCTACGGAAAGAGGAAGACTCGCTTTCGTAAGGCCATAAAACACTTAATTAGTGATTATTAAAAGTGTGTTTGTGTGTGTAGATTGTGTAGAGTTTGTGTAGTGTGTGGTACGTCTTTAGTGCGACCACCTGTTCTCACATAAAGTAGAGTTTCTCGCCTGTTTTTTCCACATAAAGAGATAATGGTGTTTTGTGGATTTGGAAAACGCGAGTTGGAAAATGTTTTGAAAAGAAACCGTGAAACAGTTTGTTATAAAGCAGCTTTTATCAAATCACAAAAACAAATCTGTCGAGGAAGTGGAAAGTCGTGTCTATTGTCCTCATGGTGTTTCTGGTAATATTCAAACACAAATGTCAAAGTAGAAGTTTGAAGCAAATCCACAAAGAAAAAGATTTTTTTTAAACTGTATATGTATCTGGTAAACGAGATTTTTTTATTTTATAGCAATATCTTTTTGTGTTTTTATGTGGTGTTGTAAGAGTCCAGAGAGTGGGCAGTTTTATTACCAATCAGAGCGCAGCTGTGAGACCAGAGGGAGAGTAGAGAGAGAGAGCAGAGAGAGAGCAGAGAGAGACTAGAGAGAGAGAGCAGAGAGAGCAGAGAGAGACTAGAGAGAGAGAGCAGAGAGAGACTAGAGAGAGAGAGCAGAGAGAGACTAGAGAGAGAGAGCAGAGAGAGACTAGAGAGAGAGAGCAGAGAGAGACTAGAGAGAGAGAGCAGAGAGAGACCAGAGAGAGACAAGAGAGCGGAACCAGGGAGAGAAAACAAAGAGAGAGACTAGAGAGAGAGACCAGAGACAGAGACCTGAGAGAGACTAGAGAGAGACAAGAGACAGACTAGTGAAAGACCAGAGAGAGACCTGAGAGAGAGACCAGAAAGAGGATAGAGAGAGAGCAGAGAGAGACCAAAGAGAGAGACAAGAGAGAGAGAGACCTGAGAGAGACTAGAGAGAGACCAGAGAGACACAAGAGAGAGAGAGACCAGAGAGCGGAACCAGGGAGAGAGAACAAAGAGAGAGACCAGAGACAGAGACCTGAGAGAGACTAGAGAGAGACCAGAGACAGACTAGTGAAAGACCTGAGAGAGACCCGAGAGAGAGACCAGAAAGAGGCTAGAGAGAGACCAGAGAGAGACCAGAGAGAGACCAGAGAGAGACTAGTGAGAGATTTATAGAAAACCAAAAATAAAATAAAAAAGGAAAAACCTCCGTACAACCCATGTGGATTTCAGCTGCAGTACCATGGGTGACCTCCTGGCACCCGTTAAGCCCCACCCAATTTTTTTTTCTCAAAGTTTTTTTTTTTTCTCAAAGTTATATATTGGCTCATACCCACAGTCCTCACATGGACACAGCTGGAAGTGAATTAAAATAATGAGTTGATCAATATGACAAGACTGTATGAGGAGCCCACTGACAGATTTACCGCCTTAAAGATAAATGGTCCTCTCCTCCAAGCTCCTGACCATGTGTGTTTCTGTACCATGTGTCTCAGAGCCCGTCCCCTGAGAGAGCACTTTGTTTAATCGTCCCTAATGAAAGAGGCCTGTCACGTCGTATTTCACACTTTTCCTCTGGAGGCGTCACAAAGTAGAAGAGAAAGCAGCGTTCTGTACAGTTTAGTTCCACCCTCTGTGTCCTTCAGCAGAACCCAACAGAACTCATCAGAACTCAACAGAACTCATCAGAACTCAACAGAACCCATCAGAACTCAACAGGAAATACACACACAACCTGCAAATACATGTGAGCACAGAGGAGAGATGTAGAGCCGGAGACAAAGCTCAGGAGTTTGAGTCTGATTCGAGTCCTCTGTGGGTTTGACAAGGCCTAAATGTGGACTAAACATAACCACAAACCAGAGAGAGAGAGACAAGAGAGAGACAAGAGAGAGACAAGAGAGAGACCAGAGAGAGACAAGAGAGAGACAAGAGAGAGACAAGAGAGAGACCAGAGAGAGACAAGAGAGAGACCAGAGAGAGACTGGAAAGATGTATATTTAGAGAGAGACTAAAGAGAAACCAGAGAGAGATCAGAGAGAGACTAGAGAGAGAGATCAGAGAGAGACCAGAGAGAGACAAGAGAGAGACTACAGAGAGACCAGGGAGAGACCAGAGAGAGACCAGTGAGAGACCAGAGAGAGACCAGAAAGAGACAAGAGAGCGACTAGAGAGAGAGACCAGAGAGAGACCAGAGAGAGACAAGAGAGAGACTAGAGAGAGGCTAGAGAGAGAGACCAGAGAGAGACCAGAGAGAGACCAGAGAGAGACCAGAGAGAGACCAGAGAGAGACCAGAGAGAGACCAGAGAGAGACAAGAGAGAGACTAGAGAGAGGCTAGAGAGAGAGAGACCAGAGAGAGACCAGAGAAACACAAAAGAGATAGACTGGAAAGATATATATATAGAGAGAGACTAAAGAGAGACCAGAGAGAGATCAGAGAGACCAGAGAGAGAAAAGAGAGAGACTAGAGAGAGACTAGACCTATATGTGGACAAAATTGATTTCTTTCCAAACTTAGCTGGTGCAGCTTATTTACAGCTGCGGCTTATGTCCAGAAAAGTTCAGTGACCTAAACCTAAAACCATTTTTGAGAAAGATTACGTCAGAAAATGTGTTTTTCACATGTCATAAACAATTCAACCCTAAATCACAACAGTGGTCATCTCGGAGGGCTTTACGAAGTTGTCATTTAGCCAGCACAGATCAGACATACACATACATACGATACCATGTGTGCTGCCCACTCACCCAGTCTGCAAACTGGTTGAGCTCCTGCCAGTACGACTGCAGCCCCAGGTCGGCCTCGCGGTTATGGCTCTCCACTTGTCGGAAGTTCTTCTCCCACACGGATCTGCGCCAGGCCTCCTCCTCCTGCAGAGCACAAGGACAGAGCACAGGGACAGGGTCAGAGTATGAGCAGTTTTAATGCTTTGAGTTAGGGGCTTCAGAATGCAGCAAAGTACAGAGAGACCAGAGAGAGACGAACCTAGAGAGAGAGAGAGGCCAGAAAGAGGGAGAGAGGCCAGAGAGAGGGAGAGAGACCAGAGAGAGGGAGAGAGACCAGAGAGACAAGAGACAAAGGGTACAGAGAGACCAGCGAGAAAGAACAGAGAGAGACTAAAGAGAGACGCTAGACTAGAGAGAGAGAGGCCAGAGAGAGACAAGAGAGGCTAGAGAGAGACCAGAGAGAGAGAGAAGAGAGAGAGAGAGAGACCAGAGAGAGAGGCCAGTGCAAAAAGATATCTGTGGACAAAGTGACAGATTGAAAGCAGCAAAGGCCAGTTCAGAACTACAGTTGGTGGATGTTGTTATTGGGAGGGGGGCAGAGAGGGGAGGGGGGCAGTGTTGACAATAAAAACATTGCTATATTTCCCATTATGTGTGGAGTCCCTGAAGACAGATGCCTCTCTGTCATTATTCCTGCTGCAGTAACATCTGAATGTGGGCAAAGAGGACACAATTCCATTTTAATTAGCAAAAATACGGCCATCTCAAAGACAGGCCTGATTCACTAATGAGGCCAGTGAAACCAGTTCACGCACACAATACTCTAATACCTCTGTGTAATACCCCCAGGAACCAGTTAGATTCACTCTTTATATAGATCCCATTTGTCTGGTTTGAGAGAGAGGGTTAAAATGCCAAAACAGTTCAATATGGCAGCTACACCTCTCTATATAACCCCAGGTCTCACTGATATCTTGGTAATTCATCCCAGGTGGAGATGAATTACCATCTCCACCTGGTCTTGTAGCCTGATGCTAATGCTAATCACACAGCGGCTGTTTCTGCTGACGACACACATCCTCAGGCTCAAACATTTACTGTAGGCGGAGTACATCCACAACGTCTAGATAAGAACATGTACAAGCACTGGGTTCAGAGAGACCAGAGAGACCAGAGAGAGACCAGAGAGAGACCAGAGAGAGACCAGAGATAGGCCAGAGAGAGAGACCAGAAAGAGACCAGAGAGACCAGAGAGAGACCAGAGAGACCAAAGAGAGACTAGTGAGAGACCAGAGAGATGCCAGAAAGAGACCAGGGTTCGAACAGAGAGAGAGAGAGAGAGAGAGAGAGAGACCAGAAACACACCAGAGCATACATAAAGTCTATATGCTTAAGTGGAGCATGTAGGCGCTGGGCTCGGGGTGGGTGGGGGGGCAGCAGGGTTGTATGGAACAGCTGCAGCAGGAGGGGGCCCCGGGGGAGGGTCAGACAGATGCTCCTCGCACAGAGCTTAGTCCTGGACTATTGTTTTTATGAAGCTGGTTTTACACCTAATGACTGTGGTGAAGTCAATAAGACAATGTTACACAGAGGTTCAAGGACGAGCCCCTGGTCCCGACTGGTCCTGGTCCTGGTCCTGGGGCAGAACTAAACTGAGAGAGTCAGCGTTTATCACATTTTACATACATTATTATAGTTTAACTTTGTTTCGGACGCAAAGGTCAGTAGAGATGTACTGTCCTAGATATATATGTATTTATCTGTTCTGCTCTGTGTTTTACCTGACTGGAAAAGCAGATGAATATGATGTTACTAGAGAACAGAGAAAGAGAGACTAGCGGGAGATTAGAGAGAGAGAGAAAGAGAAAAGAGAGGGACTAGAGACCAGAGGGAGACGAGAGAGGAACCAAAGAGAGAGACCAGAAAGAGTCCAGAGAGAAAGACACCAGAGAGAGGGATCAAAGAGAGAGATACCAGAGAGAGAGAGACTATGAGAGATCAGAGAGAGACAGCAACTAGAGAGAAACCAGAGAGAGACTCCAAGAGAAAGACAAGAGACCAGTGAGAGAGAGAGAGACTAGAAGGAGACTAGAGAGACAAGAAGGAGAGTAGAGAGAGACCACAGAGAGAGAGAGAGAAATCAGAGAGAGAGAGATTATAGAGGGACTAGAGACCAGAGGGAGACGAGAGAGAAGTAAAAAAGAGAGAGACCAGAAAGAGTCCGGAGAGAGATAGAGAGAGAGATCAGAGAGAGACTAGAGACCATTGAGAGACCAGAGAGAGGGACCAAAGAGAGAGACCAGAAAGAGAGAGAGAACAGAGAGAGAGAGAGACTACGAGAGATCAGAGAGAGAGCGACTTTACAAGAGAGAGGCAGGAGACTGTTGAGAGACTAGAGAGATAAGAAGGAGACCAGAGAGAGAGACCAGAGAGAGACAAGAGACCATTGAGTGACCAGAGGGAGGGACCAAAGAGAGAGAGAGATCAGATCGAGACCAGAGAGACCTAAGATGCCGCTCACCTCTCCAGCGTAGAGCCTCCTGTGGGTGAGCTTCCACTGCTCAAAGGGTCCGTACAGCTCGGTGTGGGACAGAGACAGGGACAGGGACAGGGACGAGCCCAGCAGCAGCAGCAGAACACTCACTGATCCCAGCATCTTCTAGTCTGCAACACAACCACAGGTCACTCAGGAGAAACACACACACCAGTCTCAGATGGTTCAAACTGAGACATGCATTCAGCAAGAACCGCTTTTTGGAGCTGTTTGTAATGCTTTTATTTGAATAATCGACCAGTCTCCCTCATCTAAGGTACGTTTCTGGGTTAAACTCGGTCTGATGACTTGGAATTGGATAAAAACTCTAATCAGGTTGCAGAAACTTAGAGATATCACCACAAACTCTAAGATCTATTAATCTATCCATCTAGTGGCCTATCTATTCATCTTAACCAGACTTGTCCAGAGACAGACAACATTGGATTATAAAACTGTTTTGACTGGATGCAGGATTTTCTGAGCTTCAAATTAGCTGAAGTTGGCTAAACAATTAGCTACACTGCAAAAAGTGAAGTCAAAACTCCACCTTGTGACCTGTCCTGCTCCACCCAGAGGCTACTCCACCTCTGCTGCTGTGACCTGAAGGGCTGTTGCTGATTATTACTATTATTTACTGCTACTGGACACTTGAATTTCTCTGGGAATGACGGGGATCAATAAAGTATCTATCTATTTATATATCTGAACACAGACTTTCCAAAACCTTTAGGTGCATCCATATAAGCCTTTTTATTGATGAGTTTGTAAAAATAGTCTCAGCTGTAGGAGCCGCTGGACATTCTGCAGACACAGTATTAAAAGAGCAAATAAACCAACACAGGATGAGCTCAGGATTTGATTGATGGTAAAAACACGGTCAGCAGCTTTAACATGAAAGAGTGGAGGCTGAACCCAGAGCTCTGCCGGTTTTATCACATCCTCATGGTTTTCACAGAAGAGCAACAATCACAGCCAGATGTGAGGAAGGAAGGAAAACGTAGATCTGTTTTTTGCAGTGCAGGGACCCCAGTTTGACAACCACTGTACGAACAGCCTTAATAACATAATATGTACAGCAGCAGCCAATAGAAATGCATGTGTGTTTGTGAAAGCTTTAAAATGAGGTATGACATGTCTGTATGTAGCAGGCATGTCCAAACTAAGGCCATTGAGGCGCTTAAATGGTGTCATCCAGCCAACTTCTAATTTCAAACCCAGGCCTGCGAGCCAGATGCGGTCCATTGTGTCATTGTATTTGGCCCTACACCGCTGCTTGCTCACACAAACCAGCCATTGAGGCACTTTAATCACGTTATCCAGCCAACTTCAGCTCCACCAAGATTGTCATGCTGTACCTTGTTGTAAAGCTCAGGGCCTTTAATTCAGCCATTCACTTCAATTGTATATGAAGACTTTTGTTATTCATTTTTATGATCCATGCTGTAGGTCCCTGGACAAGTCTGAGGAACCAAAGTGGCCCTCTTACTAAGAAGTTTGGACACCCCTGCGGTATAGGTTCATGTTAGATGGGGCTGAAGTTGGCTGAATAACAAATGTTCACTCACCAGCTCCATAAATGCCAAACAATCAACTAATTCAGCCTCCACTCTGTAACTATGAATGAATGCTTTGTAACTGCCAAATAATAATGATTAAAGTAATAAAAATCTGCTCTAAGCTAAAATCTGGAACAGTCTTCCTGAAAATGTGAGACAGGTCTTTACTGTACTGTGATTATTAAGGATTGTAATGTCGTGTTTCTATATTTTCTCTTAAGCACTTTGGGTTGCCTTGAGTGTGGACTGTGCTATATAAAAAACCTTGCCTTTTGTTTTTACAATTATTATTATTTATTGACCGTTATTTAACCAGGACGGTCCCACTGATATTTTAGAATCTACTTTTTCAGGAGTCCAAGCCCCAGAGAGAGGGGAGCTGTATACCACTATGTTTTTAGTGGTATACAGTGCCTTGCGAAAGTATTCGGCCCCCTTGAACCTTTCAACATTTCGCCATATTTCAGGCTTCAAACATAAAGATATAAAATTTTAATTTTTTGTCATAAATCAACAACAAGTGGGACACAATCGTGAGGTGGAATGAAATTTGTTGGATAATTTAAACTTTTTTAACAAATAAAAAACTGAAAAGTGCGGCGTGCAGAGGAAACCTACCCAGACACAGGGAGAACATGCAAACTCCACTCAGAGAGGCCCTGTCTGGAGGTGGGATCGAAACAAGCAAAGAATCTGATCCTCTTGCTGTGAAGCCAGAGAACGAACCACTCAACCACCGAGCTGAGGCTAAATTAAGCACTACATAAGAATACAGTATTATTCTAATTATTATTGAGCAGGTCCAAACATCATTTCCACACATTCATTAACACGACACATCTTTTACTTTCCCTCTCCTCTGTGAGAAGCCGCGTCTGGATTTAGGTTAACTCTGTCATGATCTATGCAAATACCCAGCTGCCTCTGCGCCAACAGCTAGCTCCTGCCTCTGTCTGGAAACTTAAAAGCAGGAGAAATACAGATAAAACCTCAGTAAAAGTCTGCATGGTGTCAGAGCGAGGACAGAGCTTACCCTGTGGTTCAGCCGACGTCCAGTGTCTTGGTTTCGTGGGGCACTCTGCAGCTTTTATGACTGGAATTTGGGGAAGTAGAAGGTTTTGGGAGGAGTCTTTTCTTTCCCTAGTTGGAGGTTACATCTGGTTTGGCTCCTGTAGCACCGCAGCAGCCAATGATGTCAAGTCTCTCTGGCTACAAAGAGCCTGGTGGAAAAAAAAAAACACAAAAAGGCAAATGAAAACTAGGTCAGCGCTCGGAATAAAACAAACAGTGAAGGAAAAGTAGGTTTGAAAAGAGCGGGGAATTTCTCTCTCAAACATTTGACAACATTCCAACATGAAGTACTTTATAATCAGTAACTTATTTGTTTCAGTCCTGGAGGAAGATGCAGTGAGATGGAGTTTCACTGGAACACACAGAGCAGTCAATTTGACGGCTTTGAGTTTTGTAACTACAAACATATATGTAAATGTGCAATAAAATGCATATTCACATTTAAGTTTATGAAAGCTCTCAGTTGTAGCAGTTAGCACTTCAGTTAGCGGTAAGCACTTCTGTTAGCAGTTAGCGGTTAGCTCTTCTGTTAGTAGTTAGTGCTTAAGTTAGCAGTTTACATTTACATTATGTAACTCTTTGGGCTTCATAACCTGGTGACTTTTTCAGTCTCTGTGTGTAGATATTTCTCCATGTGTCGTTATTTCTATGACATTTTGAAATGAGAGTATTTCTACCTTTACCTCCCAGACTAGAGCCAGTGCTAGTTACCATAGCAACATAAAGTTTACATGCTAACAGTTAGCATCACTTCAATTAGCAGTTTACATTTACATAATATGTACATTTTTGGGCTTCATAACTTGGTGACTTTTTCTGTCTCTGTGTGTATTTTATTTCTATGTCATTATTTCAATCGTACAATTTAGAAATGAGAGTAGTTTTACCTTTATCTCCCAGACTATAGCCAGTACTTGTAACCATAGCAACATAAAGTTTACATGCTAACAGTTAGCATTTGCTAAGCATTTCAGCCAACTGTTTCTTGCTGTATTTCAAATTATATTCACCAGTTTTAGCGCTTAGTAAAAGTAAGTAAGGGTAAAAAATATATATATTTCCTTTCCTTAGTTTTGATAAATCTGTCAAAAACAAAAAAAAGAGAAGCCCAGACTGATGTACTCCCAGCAGGCATGAACTCCGGTGATTGGAGCAAACTCGTGACCCACGTGCTCATACCGCAACCAAGCGGTAGAGACGGAGGTCCTACGAGCCATAGAGAAAGGGATGGAGAGCCACCTCTCCCAAGAGTACCCTCGCATTCCCCAACCTGCAAAGCAGGAAAGAATTCAGAACAAACCTGGGCAGGCAGCCTCTCCCAAGAGCGCCTGATCCCCAGGAGTGTAAAGCAGACTGCAGAAGGGCCTAGGCCGCCTCTCCCAAGAGCGCCTATCCTTACTGCAGAGGTGTCCAGGCCGCCTCTCCCAAGAGCGCCAACACCTCTCCACACAACCCCCCCCTGCAGAAGAGTTCTCATCGAGGTCTGTCAAAGGAGGAACTAGGGCCGCCCTGCACTCAAAACCGAATGAGCCACAGAGTCAGAGGCCACCTCCAGTAGGTAAAATTGCACAAAAGTCAAGGAGGAGGACCAAGACGCCGCTCTGCAGATCTTCACCACCGAAGTGCCATGGAACAAAGCCACCGAAGCGGCAACCCCGCGAGTGGAGTGAGCCCTCAACTGGGCTGGAGGCAGCAAGCCCTGAGCTTCATACGCCAAACGGATAGCAAGGCGAAGCCAGTGAGCCAAGCGCTGTGGAGACAAAGCAGCACCCTGACTCCTGGTGCCAAACCCCACAAACAACTGATCCGACCGTCTGAGGTCAGACGTGCGGTCCAAATAGCATCTCACAGCCCTGACCGGAGGAGGGAAAAACGGTCTCACCCAGACCACCCTAGATCTGAAAGACGACCTTGGGCTGGAAGGCCGGGATAGGGCACAACTCAATCATGCCCTCCCGATCGGGGAGGGACAAACAAGACGGCTGCACGGAAAAGGCGCACAGATCCCCAGACCTCTTGGCCGAAGCCCACGCCCACAACAATGCCGTTTTGTAGGACAATCAGGCAATGGTCGCATTGTCCAGGGGTTCAAATGGAGGCCCTGAAAGGCCAGCCAAGACCACCTGAAGGTCCCAAGACGGAGCCGACCGCCGGAGGGGAGGCCTGATCCTGCGGGCCCCTCGTAGGAACCGCACAGAGTGGCTACCAAACCCCACGTGCCCAGTGGTAATGGCCGCTGCGAACACACCCAGAGTGGCGGCCGCCCTTCCATTTCTCCAGCAAGAACTGGAGAAAAGCCAAGACCTCCTGGATGGAACACTAGATGGGGTCCAACATCTGTCCACGCACCAAGAGGCGAAGAGTTTCCAGCGAACCTCATACGCTTTGGTGGTGGATGTAGCCCTCCCACCCTGAATAGTAGCGACCACTGAGGGAGGGAGACCAAGGCTCAACATGAGCCTGCTTCCCAGGACAGGGCGTGAGTAAAGGGCTCCCCCTGCCTGTCTCAGGACGGTCCGGAACGGGCCAAGGCGGACTGAGCGCCATGCTCACCAGGTCCGGATAGCACCTGGCTCCCGGGCTGTCCGGCGCCACCACCAGGATGGAGACCCCCTCCGTCCTCACCCTGTAAAGCAGGGCTGCCAAGAGCCGGAGAGGCGGGAAGGCGTAGAGGAGACCGTTGGGCCACGACCGGTGCACCACAGTGGTGTTGTCCGTCCGAACAATCACCTGTTGGCCAACCAGTCTGGTCATGAAATGGGCCAGCACCAACCGCATCGCCTCCAATTCCAGGAGGTTGATGTGCCCCAAGGGGGACCAAACGCCTCCTGTCGAGTGGTGGCCGAGCACGCCTCCCCAACCACTCAGTGAGGCGTCCGTGAAGACCTCGATAAGCCCCTGAGGTGTGAGAACCACCTCTGGAGATATCGCATGTGCAGCAACCCCAGTCTCACCACTGGATGGGCCGCTGCCATCATGCCCAAGAGTGACTGGATCTGCCGCGGTTGGACCCGAGGTTCACCCAGAACGATCCGGCCCAGGTTCTGAACCGCCGCTTCTTTCTCTGGCGAGAGTGAAGCCGTCATGCTCCTAGAATTCAAGCCCAGTCCCAGATACGAGATCTCCTGGGCCGGGCACAGGGAACTTTTGTCCCTATTGATCACAAACCCTAGGTGAGCACGTGATTTAACACCCTGGACGTTTGATCCTGCGCATCCTCCAGGGAGGACAGGATCACCATTCGTTGATATACGTCAGTGTCCTGAGGCCCTGACGCCGAAGGGGTTCTAGCGCCGCCTCCACACACTTGGATAAGGTGCGGGGGGGGCTAGGGAGTAGCCGAGTGGGGGACCGGAGGAACTTCTTGTGCCCCCGTGCAATGGGTTTGTGGAAATTCACGTCCCCGGGCCTGACGCTCAGGAGTAGCTGTTTACTGTGAGCATGCGAAACAGTCGCTTGGCTATGCAGCCATTGAGGACGAGCAGGTCCAGCATGGCCCGCACCCCTCCGCACTTTTTTTTTTTTTTTTAGGGACTATGAAGTATGGAGAGTAAAACCCTGCCCTGAGCGGGTCTACTTCCACTAGCGCCCGGCGCTGCAGAAGCGTGTTGACCTCCCTGTGAAGCGCCACGGCGTTCTGGAGAATTCCGCAGAAAGGAGGGGGCCGCCAGGAGAACTGGAGAGCATAGCCCCGACTGTTCTGTGTATCCACAGAGTTCCCCGGAGCCCCGACTGTTCCGATACGGTGACAACATGGGTCAAGGGAAGCACAGCGGGATGGGAGGAGGGAGAAAGGCCTGGTCCGCCCATAGATGTCCCATCCTGGGGAGCCATCGGATAGTGGGAGGCCCCTGGGAAGAGGGCTGGGCCCTAGCTGCGGCCCTAGGCCTTTTTCCGGGTGGCTGCGTGAGGGCAGGTGTGCTGCGCTTACATGGAGCCGGGCCCCTGCTCCCCAACACTGTGGACTGAGAGGGGGCTGAGCAGTCACACTTATTACAGTGGGGGGCCCCTGGGAAGAGGGCTTGGCCCTAGCTGCGGCCCTGGGACTTTTTCCAGGTGGCCGCGTGAGGGCAGGTGTGCTGCGCTTACGTGAAGCCGAGCCCCCGCTCCACAACACTGTGGACTGAGAGGGGACCGAGCAGTCCCACTTTTTGCAGTGGGGGGGCCCCTGGGAAGAGGGGTGCCAGCCCAGACCCCGGAAGAAGCTGGTGTACAGGCGTACTCCATCCTCTATGAGAGGAAAACCTGACCGCCAAGGCCAGGCCTCCGCACCCGCGTATACTCCATACGCTAGCGCCGGGGAATGGGCTGTCATGGGCCTATCCCCTCGCGGCTGATATAGTGAAGCAGAGGCACACCCTGAGCGAGCCACCATGGGCACCGAGAGTGATGTTATTAAGCAACCATCTGTGGTGCAGTAGTATTACGCCTGTCCAGCGTGAGCAGAACGTAGCACACCTTGAGCGAGCCACCATGGGCACCACTCCAGGGATGAAGCGAGCAAAGTGATGTGCTAAGCTAGGGCAACCATCTGTGGTGTATTAGCTATACGTCTGTTCAGCGTGGATAGAGGGTAGCACACCATGAGCGATGCCACCAAGGGCACCACTCTATGCGGCATGAATAATCCACGGCGTCAATTGCGCTCCTCCCCAGGGGAGCGCGAGACAAGCCACACATCTGGGGCTTTCTCCCGCGGCACGAGGCCAGCCCAGGCAGAAGACGCTGGACTCGTGGCGGTCGGTCTGGGAGAGTGCCGCTGGGCACAAGTCGCAGATCCGCAGCCTGACACCGGAGGGTGGCAAGTTCTCAGGCGCGGGGATCTTGCTTGAAGACATCCTAGCAAATGAATCGAAGCTTCTCTTAGGCAAGCTGAGAGAGAAAGGAGAAGAGCTCAGTGTTGCCAACTCCTCAGTAAGGAAAGTAGCTATTGGCTGTCCTAAAAGTCGCTAGAAGTCGCTAAATGACGTCATGGCCTAATTCGCATAATTGTCAATTTGCAAATAACTGTAACGGACGCTGTAGGAGAGAGGAATAACGTTGTGGGAGAGACAAAAGTGAGTAAAAAACACCCTAAATATGTTTAGAACTACAAATGTACTAAAATAATTTCAACATAAACAACATTTAATGATTTTAATGCTTTGTCTAGATCTGTCGCTAGTCGCTTTTTTGAAAAAAAGTCGCTATAGGGTCTGAAAAGTCGCTAAATCTAGCGACAAAGTCGCTAAGTTGGCAACACTGGAAGAGCTGTGGTGCATGGCCCTATTTATAGGGGACTGGCCTACGCCAGGACGTGAAGGTGATTGGAGGGTGGATTGTTTGATCTTCTCAGGGCCTGAAGCGATGCTTCCGAGAGATTTGCATTAGCGAAGCCTAAAGGGCGAAGCAACATATGAAATAGAACATCAATCTTACACAAGTTCCTCGCTCTGAAAACAATACACACACAATACAGACTACACTAGTACACAGAAGTATTTGTTGAGTATTAGAGAATGGTATGAAGTACTGTGTGCTCTCGTTATCAGTCCGAGCCCAGGTGAATAAATCCATAAATGTGTATAAAAGGTGAAGTATTCGGCGAAACGTGCTGAGAAGTACATTGAGGCCCTTGTGGCGGTAACAGCCTCCACAAGAGTCACATTTATTACATATCATTGAACTAATAATTTATAATAAAACCCAATTCAAGCTTAATCTGTAAAAATGTAAATAACCGCTTTGTACTGAACCATACGGCCACCGATTGACTTTGTGTAACTCAAGAATTGACTGGGGCCAAAGTGGCTCTGTTGGTTTGGGCCAGAAGGTCGTGGGTTCGATCCCCCCACAAGACCTTCTCCATCTGCTCCCACTGAAGTCGGCTGTCTCTGTGTCCCTGGGCAAGACACTTAACCCCACTCAGTGGCAGCCGTCTTCCCGTCTTCGCCAACATCACGACCCAGAAATGGATAAATAAATGGGATGTTAATAAATGGATGAAAAACTCAAGAAACATGCTGTCAATCAGTGGTCTCACACTTTATAGATGATGATACACAACATTTGAAGACTTGGCATTTATCTATGTTCCCTGGTCTGTTTTTAAATCACTTCCTTGTTTGTTTAACCACATGACTTCTCCATTCACCATAAAAGATACATACATTACATATTTATAGACTCACCACAGTTTCTTGACTCAGCAAAAGTTGTGCAATCGATGAGCGCAGAGAAGTATGGCATAAGCTAAAGAGTCTAAACTGGGCCTGGTTACTGGCTAGATCTGTGCAGAGGCAATTCCTTTCATGTTTGAGAGAGAGACATTTGAGAAATAAATAAAAACAATATTATGAAGTTTGAAAATACCTGAATAATGCAAATAGAGGGTTTTATCGGTGAGAAAAGACACAAGAATTGTGTGGTGATTAATACAAACAGTGTGTGTGTGTTTCTATGTATGTGTGTTTATGTACCTCTGTGTGTGTGTCTGTGTGCATGTGTGTGAGTGGTGTTTGATACAGTAGTTTGTGTGAGAATGTCTCTCTCTGTGTGTCTCTATTGTTTGTCTGTCTGTGTGTGTGACTGTGTTTGTGTGTGTCTCTGTGTGTGCTTGTGTGTGTGTGTGTGAATCCCTCTTGTCCCAGTAAAAGTGATACAATACAATACAATACAATGTATTGTTGTATAGCCCTAGGTCACAACAGAAGTCATCTCAGAAACTTAACAACCATTGAAATCACCAACACAGGTCAGAGAATCAACAGTTAAAACACATGAAGAATATAAAGCACACACAGAAGAAAATGTCCATACATGTTGTAGAATGCTAAAGTGTCCTGATCATCACCAATCCTTTCTGTTGGACACTAACTGTCCAACAAGACCCTCCTGCATCCACAAGGAACAACTCTTAAAAAACCCAGTGGAAAAAAGTGAGAAACCTTGGGGAGAACTAGGGAAACCCACAGGGAGGGAGACCCATTTGAGAAAGGGATCCGCTCCTCCGGACGGACAGGCTAATGATCCAGGACCTAAGCTAGCTCCACCAACTGACAGTGGCTCAGTTGGTGGAGCATTGGTCTCTGAACTTAATGGTCATGGGTTCAATCCCCCCACGACCCATGGCATCTGCTCCCACTGAAGTTTGCTGTTGTTGTGTCCCTGAGCGCAAGACCCACTTTGCCCGAAGCCCCCGCTGAAACACCGAGGCCGTATCTTCGTCGGAGCAGCAGCCATTTAGAATAACAAAGGGGATGAAAATGACATATCCTTTCTATACTTGTAAGAAAGACTATTTGACTCTTTGGGCTGAGAGCTGATTGGCTGAGTGAGGGCGGTCCTCTCTTTTACACACTTCTGTCTGATAAAGCAGATCCAAAGTTATGGCAGGGGCCCAGAATGCATGATGTGGAGACAGTTTGGAGGGAGAAGAATTGGATTGATTGGATTTTATTAGTTGAATAGTTGAATAGTTTGTGACTTGAATGTTAAATCTGGGGATTAAACCATCTCTAAATGAATGGACAGTTCCCCACGGTGGCAAAGTTTATCCATAATCTACTTACTATTCCTCCATGCCGTTATCAATCAATACTAATTACCGGTGAGAGAGGGTTAGAGGCCTTTGAGTCAAAGTGTCAGAAGAAGAACCTACGTAAAACATTTCATATCTGTGGTTTACTGTTTTTCTTTTCTGGATTTGTGAAGAACTTTGAGATGCTTTGTGTATAAACTGTGCTCAACAATTAAATAGTAATGTCAGAATGTGTAGCAGAGAACCACATGTGTCACTTTGTCGCAGACCCTTACAATGCTAACATGTACAGATATCATGCTAAAGCTAGAGATTTTCTACTTTTTAAACTTAATCTTAAACATACTTTGTCATAATATTACATTTTCAACCGTTTCAAAATAGCAGCACTTCGTCCAATACATATTCCACACCAGCCCTTGTGTTTTTCTCACTGTCACAAACCAAATCTCCATCTGATCACCGCATGAGGAAGAGGCAGCTGCAGCTTCACGACGTGTCCGATAGATGGAGAAGTGCGAGGCTCAGTGACACAAAGACAAATACCCCACTCTGCGGTGCCGCCCTTATCCGAGCTCGCATTAGAGCTGCTGTCATTGAGACGTATGAGACTCCCCCTCTGTCCCATACATCAGCCCGGAGGAGACTCAATGTTTACTGTTAACTATGGATGCGACGCAGAACAATCCCATTCTCTGTCCATAAATCATATATATGTATTTATATATACAGTACTTATTTATAGACTTGATAATATAATTTCTGTGGTCGTCTGCGGTCTCCAACATTGCTCATTCAAATCCAAGGCCTGTACATGTTAGCGCCGAGATGCATTTTGGCCCCTGGTCCTCCTGGTCTTGAGCAGCAGGTGAGGCGTTGATGGTACTTGTCTAGTGTGGGGTTTTTTAATATTTTGATCTGGTTTTAATTAACTATTTGTTCAATGTAGTTTGAGTTTGCTACCTGTCTGCTGTCGATTATTTGCCCTGATGTGTCTCACCCGTGTGTACCTGTGAGTATTTATTCCCAGTGCCTTTCCCCACTTGTACCTGTGAGTATTTATTCCCTGTGCTTGTCCCACTTGTACCTGTGAGTATTTATTCCCAGTGCCTTTCCCCACTTGTACCTGTGTGTATTTATTCCCTGTGCTTGTCCCACTTGTACCTGTGAGTATTTATTCCCAGTGCCTTTCCCCACTTGTACCTGTGAGTATTTATTCCCAGTGCCTTTCCCCACTTGTACCTGTGAGTATTTATTCCCTGTGCTTTTCCCACTTGTACCTGTGAGTATTTATTCCCAGTGCTTTTCCCACTTGTCCCTGTGTGTATTTATTCCCTGTGCTTTTCCCACTAGTACCTGTGTGTATTTATTCCCTGTGCCTTTCCCCACTTGTACCTGTGTGTATTTATTCCCTGTGCTTTTCCCACTTGTACCTGTGAGTATTTATTCCCTGTGGTTTTCCCACTTGTACCTGTGAGTATTTATACCCTGTGCTTTTCCCACTCGTACCTGTGAGTATTTATTCCCAGTGCTTTTCCCACTTGTACCTGTGTGTATTTATTCCCTGTGCTTTTCACACTTGTACCTGTGTGTATTTATTCCCTGTGCTTCACCCACTTGTACCTGTGGGTATTTATTCTCTGTGATTTTCCCACTTGTACCTGTGTGCATTTATTCGCTGTGCTTTTCCCACTTGTACCTGTGTGTATTTATTCCCTGTGCTTTTCCCACTTGTACCTGTGAGTACTTATTCCCTGTGCTTTTCACACTTGTACCTGTGAGTACTTATTCCCTGTTCTTTTCACACTTGTACCTGTGAGTACTTATTCCCTGTTCTTTTCACACTTGTACCTGTGAGTACTTATTCCCTGTTCTTTTCACACTTGTACCTGTGAGTACTTATTCCCTGTGCTTTTCCCACTTGTTGTCCGTCCGTTGTCTATACCACGTTTGTTCTCGGCTTGTTTTCAGTTCTTGATTTTTGTATTTTGTAGTTAACTTATAATGATTTGAACAAATAACACTTTTTTCGGAGTCCTCCATTTTGTTTTTCCTGGTCTTACCACACCACTGGAATCATTTCATTTCGTACTAAGGCCTGGATTTTCTCAATCGAGCTCCACCTTTTGCAGATTGAAACGATTGGACCTGAGTTTGCCATGACGTATGGAATTCACGTGAAGGAGTCGCTTGTATTTAGCATTTAGCCTAGCTTTAGCATTTAGCCTAGCTTCAGCCTTTAGCCTAGCTTCAGCATTTAGCCTAGCTTCAGCTTTTAGCCTAGCATTTAGCCTAGCTTTAGCCATCGCCTTTGCCGCTAAAGGAGCCTGTGGGGAGTAGAGCCACAACACGTTTGCAGCAATCACATTTACTAAACATTCCTCTTGCTCCGGCTTCAATTTATTGATATTTGGATTGAACCAAAACAGATTATTTTATTATAGCATTCTCAGTTAAACTACAACCAGCTAAATCTGTGCATTCTCTTGACGTCAGCACTTTTCTTGCCTACACAAAGTACTCCACTGCACACAACAACATATATCATGTATATTTACTTTGACCTCTGTCACATTTTTACCTCAGCTTTTTCAGACCAAAAACTGCAAAAGAATCTTAGTCCCAAGACTCGCTGCCTTGGGACAGACATCAACCACATTGTCATTATTTATGAAAAAAGGGGAGAAAATGGCTATGCACACCGCGGTATGGTCAGGAGATGATATAGTTTTTGTCACAGACTAAAACTGTTCAGGGATTCTGTGGCACCGCGACAATCTCCAAACAAACAGAATACCGTCTGTGATGTCACCGTCGCTGCTCCTTGTTCCTGTTCTGGATGAAGCACACTTCCCTGTTTGACCACATCCTCCTCCAGAGCCGTCTCCATGAGGGAATGAGACACCGACCTCACGTCTGCAGCGATGTGTGAACCAGAGACAGGATAAAAAATACTCAATGGTGTAAATGAATGAATTGGATGAAAAGATAATGGTTGGATTGACGCTAAGATGCTATACCTGATTTTTTTTTCATGAGTTCATAAAAATGCTTATTACTACATACAAGTTGTATCATAATTCGTAATTGAATGTAAAACTTGAGCTCATTGATTCAGCTGTGTATGAATCCAGGCGTAAAAAGTGCTGAGTAGAGACTTACTGCTAATTTACACATCACGCGTTACAGCACGTACGTGTTATACGCGCAGCAGACGCGCGTAACTTTTTTCCATGTTAACCTATGATGATATTTACACTTCTAGCGTTATACGCACGTATGACGGACGTATGACGCGAAGCTGCGCTCTAATTTAGGATGGATTTCTAATTTTGTGCCCCCACCAACGCGTCTCCCATTGAAATCTCATGTAAAACATGATTTTTCTAGCGGCCCTTGGCTCTAGATCACATCTACACACATCTACACACACACACACACACACACACACACACACACACACACACACACACACACAGCACTTGTGTCTAAACATCAGCAGGAGGAGCAGCAGGTTTTACAGTGATTCTGGACATCGTTTCTTTTCTTTCATAAAGTCTGGCGTCTGGCCAAACCAGCGCACAGAGACCATGAGGACAAACACATGCATGTGATTTGTGTTGCTCTACATCAGTCCTCTGGCCCGTACTGTCCTCTACACTGCTCCATAGACTACACAGGGAGAGCATCAGAAGACGTGGACCTGCGCGCACGGCCTGTGTAGATACTTCAAAAAAATGTTACGCGCAGAGAGCGCGCAGTAAACGCGTACGCGCTGTTTATGCCTACTGTGTAAATTCCCCGTTAGCGTGACGCCCGCTCTCCTCCAATCACAGAACGAGGCTGCGTCCCCTAGCCTCTACAGCGCTGCTAAACACAGTAGCATGTTAGCATAAGTGGCTATATCGAGAGCCTGACACACTGCATTACAGACTATATTCTCTTCTGTGTGGATAACACTGTACCAACTAAGAGGGGCACTGTCCTCTCACCGTTTCTCTTCACCATCTACACCTCAGACTTCACACACGACACACACAGCTGTCACCTTCAGAAGTTCTCCGACGACTCCGCCATCGTGGGCTGTGTGTCTGAGGGGATATGGAATATCGGTCGGTTATCACGGACTTTGTTGACTGGTGTGAGCGCAACCACTTGTGCTTGAACACCAGTAAGACCAAGGAGATTGTACCTGTGCTAACACCAGTAAGACCAAGGAGATGGTACCTGTGCTAACACCAGTAAGACCAAGGAGATGATCATCGACTTCAGGAGAAAACCACTTTCCCACACGCTGCTGAACATCCAGGGGGAGGACATTGACCTGGTGGACAGCTTCAAGTACCTGGGTGTTCACATTAACAATAAACTGGACTGGTCCATAATACCAACGCCCTGTACAAGAAGGGCCAAAGTCGCCTCTTCCTTCTGAGGAGGCTGAGGTCCTTCGGAGTGAGCAGGCCTCTGCTCAGGACTTTTTATGACTCTGTGGTAGCTTCTGCCATTTACTACGCTGCCGTGTGCTGGGCCCCGGGCAGCACAGAGCGGGACAGAAACAGACTGAACAAGCTGGTCAGGAGGGCCAGCTCCACTCTGGGCTGCTCCCTGGACTCTGTGGAGGAGGTGAGGGACAGGAGGCCCCTGGACTCTGTGGAGAAGGTGAGGGACAGGAGGCCCCTGGACTCTGTGGAGAAGGTGAGGGACAGGAGGGTGCTAGCCAAAGCCACCTCCATCATGAACAATACCTCCCACCCACTGCACAGGACTGTAGAGGAGCTGAGGAGCTCCTTCAGTGGAAGACTGGGACACCCTCAGTGTAGGAAGGAGCGCTACCGCAGGGCCTTTATCCCCACCGCTGTCAGACTGTACAATAAGTCACTTTAAATGATCACTGTGTGAAAACCTGCACTATTGACACTGTTTCCAATTGACACTTGTCACTTTTGTTGTACATAATTATTGTCACTTTATTGTACATATATCCTGCATGTAACATGTTTGCACATTTCCTCCTCTTGCACAATCTGAGTGTCTCTATCCATGCCAAATGTGACATGTACATTTCTCCTATGTGAGATAAATAAAGCACATCTTATCTTATCTTATAACTCCTCTGGCTGTAACTGCAGACACAGCAAAACAGCCCAAACCCCACAACAGTGAGGAAGAGAAGAGGGAACTAAAGCCAAAACATGATCAAAGAAGAAACCAAGCCCTGAACAGAGGCTTGGGTATCCTCTGGAGAGACTGGTCTATGGGAGAGACCTGCGGGACCGCCTCGGACTATCTACGCTCGGACTATCTATGCTCGGACTATCTACGCTCGGACTATCTATGCTCGGACCATCTACGCTCGGACTATCTACGCTCGGACTATCTACGCTCGGACTATCTATGCTCGGACTATCTACGCTCGGACTATCTACGCTCGGACTATCTATGCTCGGACCATCTACGCTCGGACTATCTACGCTCGGACTATCTACGCTCGGACTATCTACGCTCGGACTATCTACGCTCGGACTATCTACGCTCGGACTATCTACGCTCAGACTGTCTACGCTCGGACTATCTACGCTCGGACTATCTACGCTCAGACTGTCTACGCTCGGACTATCTACGCTCGGA